TGGTATCGAAGTTTCTCCCCTAGATGTATCCAACCTAGAGTCAAGGGGAATGTTGAGGTCTCCTGCCACTATCAGAAGGCCTTCTCTGAATTTGTTTAGTAGGGCTAGCGTTTTAGTTAGGAAGACGTGTTGACGTCGATTAGGGGAGTACAGGCAGGCAAATGTGTAGGTGGACTGTGCTATCGTGCCTTTGATAAATACGTATCTACCCCCGGGGTCTGACTTCTGCTCCGTGCAAACGAATGGGACTGTACTGGAGAGTAGGATTGCTACTCCGGCCTTCTTCCCGTCCGGGTGATTAGCATAGAATCCTGTGGGGTAACGCCCGTTTCTCACGGTTGGCGCCTCTGTACCCTGAAAATGTGTTTCCTGTAAGAACGCCACTGAGGCGCGCTCTGCCCACAGTGTGCGAAGTAGTTGGGACCTTTTTTCGGGAATGTTTAAGCCTCTTACATTGTTAGACCATAGGGTCAGTGGTGTCGGCTTGTAGTTAGAGCCCATCTCTATCAGCGTTTGTTGTGAGGCGTGTGTGGGTATGTGTGCGTCAGTGGTTGATGGGTATAGGGGTAAGGTCTGTCCGGTGTCTGGGGAGGGTGATAGTCTGTCCAAGAGAAAGGCAACTGTGACTCGCCTCGGTTTTGTCGCCTTCTGGTGTCTGTTCCCCTGGGGGTGAGTCACCTCGGTGGCCTCCGAGTGTATATACAACGTGAGTCCGTTGCTTGGGGTATGCGGTCCCTCTAGTGTGGGTCGTTCGATAGTGTTGTGTCGAGCCTTTCCCTTGGCTCCCAGCTCACCTATTGTGTTGGGTTGTAGATCTCTCCGAGTATGTTTCCGTCCCGGAAACCCCACCCACCTTCGTTGCCCCTCCCTGTCTCGGCCTATGTATGGCCTGTGTATGTGTCTGACTCTAACTCGGGCCCCAAGTTTCACGTCATTCTGTAACTGTTGCTACACGTATTGTACCGCGTCCGCGCAATTGTTTACAAACAATAAAAACCATAAACCAATATAACAATCATAATAAACAGTTGTGGAGCAAGGCCCCCCATTCTTCCCCCCCCCCAAAGGGAGCTCCCCACACCCCCCCCTTGGTGGCCCCATTACATGCCTGAGAGGCCCTCGGCTGTCCAGAAGGTGCTGGGATCTATGCTATCGGTCGTGCCCTTCAGGCTAGAGCTTGGGGAGATCACCCTTATAGCGGTGGGTATAACCCTGGTATGGTGGCAGCCTCCCAGCTTCCACCCCCGCACCCCCTCCACCCAAAGGTAGTTGGTGTTCCCGGGCCTTGGCCACTAGGAGAGTCCCAGCGTGGCATGTCCATGCAAAGTCTATCTCCTGGGGGTCCCCACCCCTGGTTGTGAGGCTCAGGTTAGGCCACCCCCTGCTAATGAGGATCTGGACCCCATGTTGCGGGCTTAGGTCAGGGAATCAAGTACATACCAAGTTGTGCTGTGGTTCGACCAGGTGCGTGGGGGGCAATGTCGTCTCGTGGTGCCCGACACCCACAGGAGCTTCCGGTGGTCGTGTCTAGGCCTTCTGAGCTGTCTTGTGGCCTTCTCTCGTAGTGGCTGGGGGGCCGTTGGTGGGGTGGCAGGTTGACGGTCGGGTTAGCAGAATGGGAGGTAGGGGAACAGGTTCATAGGGGACAGTTATTCTTCATGGCTGTCTGGGCCACCCCGCCGGAACCCGCTTCCTGTGAGGCCCGTGCCCGGCCTGTCGCTAACCGCCCGTGGATGCTGTGGTTGTCGCTCCAGGACCCAGTTGGATATCGTCACCGCGGGTAGACTCGTGGCTCGTAGGAAGCGTGGAACATCAGCTGGCCAGCGGATTATATGCCAGGTTTGGCCCACCCTCGCCTGCAGGCTGAAGGGGAAGCCCCATTTGTACGGGATCCTCCGCTCCCGGAGAATGGCGGTTACTGGACGTAGCGCCCTCCTGGCCTCTAGCGTGAGCGCGGAGAGATCCTGGTAAAGCGAGACCTGCCCGTCTCTAAAGGCGATGTTCTGTTGATTGCGCGCCGCTCTCATGATGCCATCTTTTAAGGCGTAAGAGAGCAAGCAGCAGATTACGTCTCTCGGCGGTCCCTCAGGGGACAAGGGTCTCAGCGCTCTATGGGCTCTTTCGATACCGTAGTCTTCTGGGGCTCTGTCACCCAGAATATGGGTAAACAGGTCTGTCAGGAGCTCTGGCAGCGTTTCGTCCGCGTTTTCGGGTAGGCCCCTTATGCGGATATTGTTCCTCCTTGCGCGATTGTCCAGGTCTTCTAGTTGTCTCCTGAGATCTAGTAGGACATTGCCCTGTCTGGTGGTGGCAGTGTCTGTGGCCTGTTGGTGCTGCACAGTCTGGGCTCTGTCTGCTTTAAGGGCCTCTACCCTTTGTTCAAGGGCTGTCAGGTCTTTCCTCACCTCCATGACTTCCTCCCTGATTGCAGTCCTGATTTCTGCCAGCATCTCAGCTTTGTCAGCTCTGGACAGCATATTGGCAGTGATCTTGGCCAGCTCGGATGAAATATGCGCAAGAGTGTCTCCCCTGGGTGAGCCCTGCGTCAGGCTGTCACTGCTGCTGTCCCCTGGGGAGGCCGGCGCCATTTTGGATGCGGCCGGCGCGGACCGCATGTCTCGCGGCGTGCATATATAGCCGTCCATGGGGCCCGAGGTGCGACCCGGCGAGCCGGCTTGTGAGGGTCCCGGCGTGTGGGGTCTCCGGGATTTACCCATTCCGGGTCGGATAGCGCTCGTTGATGGGTGCTAGTGTGAGCTGGGGCCGCGGAGCAGGTTCAGGATGCGTCCTACTCCATACCCGATCAGGCCACGCCCCTACTTTTTTTTTTAAGACGCTATAATTAATGCATTTTGCTCATGTCTATAATATATATCTGTAATTTGAATTGCTCACATAAATAATACATAAATAAAACCTTCTGGATTTATCTGTACTCAACTGAAGAAATCTTCCACTGTGTTCTTCTTCCCTGGAAGATTTACTGCAGTCAGTCCTAGAATGAGGGTACGAGGGGTGTATATACCCTTTGTTTAAGTTAGGATTCTGTCTAATTAGGAGAGGGGGAAGCTACCAATTGTTGTGCTCAATGGATATGGCCAGAAAATAAATATACATACGTAATATTAAATATTGCGTTACATGCCACAATGACTTATAGGGCTGGCATACATATTTTTCCAGGCCTGCTTTGTATTCCCAGTCTGGCCCCCGTTCTATTAAGTGAATACAATAATACATATGGAAGTAGTGATGTGGAAATCTAAACAATATATTAATGCCCACTGCTCCTAGGATGGGAAACATTGTTGCTGGGCATTGACATATGTTTCAGCCTCAGCTACTCATGGCTACAAAATGTTCTTTTATGTTATATAATAAAATAGCTCTAATATAGAGCAACTCATGACTTCTTTTGGTAGGTCGCCTGCTTCTGTACAATGTTGATGCAGGCTGCCGATACACACCTGGTTTCTAGTTTGATTATTGTGTATGATGGGATGCAGAAATATGGACCAGCTTGGCATATACAAAACACTGACTTAAGCAGGATATTACATAGGAGGGAGGAACGTATTGCATCCTATGTGGTTTTACAAAGTGAGCACCCCAAAATCACATATTCCAATTTTAAAAACTGCTCTACTAGTAAACCTTTTATTAGGTTTTATTGACCTAATATTCCTGTACATGGAAACGTGTTTATTTGGTTTTTACAACCAACAAAGCAATACTAAACTGGAACGGCAAGTAGGTGTATGTCTATCTTCATAGAGATTATATGTGGAAAATGAGGACACTTTAGAACTCATGGGGATTTTCACAGGAAATGTGCATTTCACCATTACATTAAAAGCACAAAGTGTTATTTTTTTATCCAGTTCTTAATGCAAACACCTTGCTGGGCCTGGTGCTGATTACTATAATTACAGATGCTTTCTGATTGAAAGCACTGTTACAGTAATGCCTCCTGAGTATCTTGTATCTGGTTGAAATGGTGCTGGAGGGACACTAGCAGGATACATTTTAAAGGGGCATTATAGGCAGTGGCACCCAAACAACTTTATCCTAATGAAGCAGTTTTGGTGGATAGATTATGCCCCTGCAAAAAAGAAAGGAACCCACTAACTCAAAGGGGGTCCTGAGGAGGATAACGACCAAAATAGAGAAGGGATCCCTGCCTTTATTGAATCTAAGAAACTATGTAAATTAGATATCAGGGTTATGGAGCAAATCTATAATCCCTGTATATCATACCAGCTTCAACAATAAAAACTCCAATAAATCTTTCCCTGAAATACCTCGGCACCATGGACAAGCCACTAATGCCTACCTGAACTACTCTCCCTTACTGAAAGGAAAGAAAAGAAAAATATTAATTACAAATCCAACAAACATAGTGCAAAGACAAGTGCTACCTAGTGTGGTGATAAAGCAATAAAAATAGCTTGACCTGCATTTTGGTGTATTAACACACCGTTGCCAGGAGCAAATTAGTAAAGCTGTCTGAGTTCTCGATTTCTATAGCCCTGTTCATTAGCAGGGTATTCCCTGCATCTGTCAAGACTGAGCATGTCTTATCAGAGGCACGCCACCTATGTCCATGTGGGGCATTGTCAATCATAGGATACGACATTAGCTCCCGGAGGAGGGGAGGGAATGTGTCACCACCTCGGCACACCCTCCTCTCCCCTCCTCCCCCCCCTCCCCCCAGATCAGCAATGGCTCTTGAACCAAGGTAATCTGCGCCCATACGAGATCCTACAGATCTGAGGGACCCTAGTTTATTCTCCCGGTCGGTCCGCGCGGTGAAAACTACACTTGGATGAGTCAGGGGGCGGGGTCGTCATGGTCTCCACGAATGAGCAGAGTGGGGGGTTGCGCCCCCAAAAAACAGCATGTCCCCAAACTCTTCCCCAAATCTAGATCTAGTAATGATCTGTGTCAGATGTCCAATAACTCCATTATTCACTATTTAAGGTTTGCTTGTGATATTATGTATCAATGGTAAACCTTTGCATAATGTGTGATATAAATTCAGACCCAGCTCATTAGGTCTGTGGACTAGGCCCAAGGGAGAGTGTGCAACTTAGCAGACAAGGGCACATGTATGAGTGTGGGAATGGATGTGATTGAATGTCATGTATGTGTGGGAGTGTTGTATGTGAGGAAGGGGTGGTGTCAAGTTAAGCTGACCTCAGTGCCACTTAGGATCTGTGCCAGCACCAGTTTTCCACCCACCCTCCCTTTAATTTAGGCCCTGGGTGTCGTGACAGCTAGGCGGGGTGCATGTCCTTGCCAAACAGGTTGGGAGATGGTTGCAGGTAGAAGATTAAGGTGGATAATGGCCGGGTCTCAACCTCCCCTTTCTCTTATGGTAATCCGCAAGGGTACCAGGTTGGATGTGTCCCCACCGAGCTAAAAGCCGGCTTGTGGGGTGCATTATGGATGGGCCCCCACTGAGCTAAAAGCCGACTGGTGGTGAGCCCAAAAAGGGAAGAGAAATTTGTTATGATGAGGGGAGAGGGGAGAGCCTTAGGGATGGGTGTGAGTTAGATTGGCAAGGACATCTTGATTAGAGTAAGTTCGTACTGTATGACATTTTGCACTGTTATTTATGTTGTCATGATTGTTATTTATATTTATAGTTTAATATGATTTATGTGTTATGCAGTATTTGTATGTTTTAATAAATGCTGTGGCCTGTTTCATCCAATATTAGTGTCTGTCTTTTTGGGAACGTATCTCATCCAATGCCCAGTACCAAGTCATTCCATTTTTGTTGGTATGCATGTCTTATTTATTTATTTATTTATTTATTTATTTTTTTGCAATAAACATAACAGAATGTTAATGTATGGCAATGACTATGGATGTCCTATTAGTTTGTTTATTAGTTAATGAAGGGACAAGGAGGAGGGCGGGAGGGTCATTGTTTAAATGATCAAAAGGGTGTTAACAGGGTAGGTAGTTAGACACTATGCTCAAAATATTTACATATTTACATATTTACAATTAATTCTAGATATAAAGAAGGGGGTTGACAAAAACCTTTGTTCTTATATCCCTCAAGGACCTTGGTCCAAAATGTGAAGAGAGCTATAAAAAAAACCGAAAATGAAAAACCCTCATTAAGACCGTGTGGTGAAAGGGTGTTAAGTCTGTATATCAAATAGGATTCCCTTTGTCTCATTCTCCCTTTGTCTCACCCTTATGTTATGGTTGAGGGACTAATTCAATGCCCATAAGTCTTATTTTGCACGCAGAATTGGCATGATGAAACTTCAAATGGCGTGAGATAGGTGTCTCTAATTGTCTCCTTACGGAGTTGACGTGTTCCCTTATTTGTAGTTTAAAGGGGCGGAAGATTTTTCCCATATATTTCTTTCCACATTAACTTGTCAAAGGATAAATTTCCCCTTCAATATGACAATTAAAGAAGGAACATGTAGGGAAAGTCTCAGAGTTCCCACTATCTGAGAAATATTTGGTTTCTCTAGCAATTTATGTGCACGCATTGCAGTAGCCACATTTGAAGGTGCCCTTAGGTAAATATTGTTTCAAAGTCTACTCAAATGAGAAAAATGGCTCGGTACCAGCATATCTTTAAAATTCCTACCTCTACGTGTCATCACTGAAGGTTAGGGGGTGACTACTTTTCCAATATGAGGGTCAGAGGTAAGTAGCATTTAAGAGTGTCATAAAAATCAATGATTTAGCCTACCCTACCCCTAATATACCACCCAAGAGACATTAAAGACCTCCCCTATTTAAGTTTCTTTGTTTACCGAACCCAATCTGTTTCCCCTTGGTTCGGTACCTTTGCAGTTCTGAACACTGACCACCCCCTGGCTCATTAACTTCAAAGAAACTACTAAGTGCTCTCCCTGGGTGGTCGCCGTTCGTATAACCAAACACACGTGTTCTAGCAAATGGTGTCCGTTTTGTCTCCCGAACACAGGCAGTGGTACTTGGTTGTTGAGTGCGTGGAACTACATTTCGGATACATTGAGGGGTAGCACGATTGCCTCATCATAGATGTCAAGTACGATACTACCGCATACTGAATCGCTGATACTGACATCTTAGCTACCCCAATGAATACGATCGCTCCACTGACAACCTCGTTCTGCCTCTGAGATACTGAGGCTTAGGCACGGAGAGGAAATCTCTCATTAGGTATTAGGAACTATCAGTAAATAGTCGTGGTGACACAGTAAACTTAGCAAATGTTCTTATTACCTTTTGCCTCTGATGTACATGGAACAAGGCACTGATAGACAATTTATTAGTTGGTATGATACTACCGCAAAATAGCTGCGGAGATATTTAGTTTACACAGCCATTACTATTCAGCTACTCTCAATGTGCTTTGTCTCTCTTATTATATATTGGTTGGACTGGGAAAGGTGGGCTAACAGTGAGACAGTAGTTTTTGGGTAAGGGGTGCCCTCGAAGGCATGTTAGTCTGATTTTCTATCAAGATCAGGGCCACCTATATTTACTCCTTTCCCTACTCTCTATTGCCTTTACAATACAAAAGTATTATACAGTTTCTTGTTTTACGACTAAATAAGGCACTTACTGTGAATTTATGCACTGCATTTCCCTTACAGTGGAATAGAGTTTGTTAATATTTTTATCTTTTTTATTCAAGCACACTTTACCTTATATTTATTTTAAACTAAGTACAACAAAAGTAACATTTTAGCATTTGCTTGAGCTCACACAGACACTTTGGAGATTTATGTATTTTGTTTTTATTTGGTATTTCCATATGTATTCACTACTTAGGGGTTACCCCCCATTTTTTGTTAGTAATCTCCAGTGTCTCTATCTTTACAAATTGTTTTTTGTTTTTTCTGAGTACATTTCGGATACATTGCCTCGCGAACACCGGGACAAATCATACCGTTGCCCAAACAAGCCAGGAGAGTGCTTTTAAGGGAAAGACACTCCAAAATGAGAACATTCGCTCCCTACGAGCCAGGGGGAAGCTTAATTTATATTCACATAATAACTCCCGAACATTGACTGGCTGCTACCTCTTTCCTCTGGAACTATTTTGGGCAGCAGCCACGTGTGCGGTCGGTCAAAACTTTACCCCGGTGGTGATTTGGCTATATTACATGTATCTGAGCACTATTTGGACAACTTGGGCGCTCAGATCCGGGCTTTTTTAAGTACCCTATTAGCATATCCCTTCTCTATAAAGGATTTCCTAAGGTCCCATTCCTTGATTTTAAAATCCTCCAATGTGGAACAATTCCTATGGAGCCTTAAGTATTGGCCTATAGAGATCCCTGCCTTCAAGGACGGTGGGTGATGGCTAGTCCAGTTGAGTAGACCAATGGAAGCTGTCTCTTTCCGGTACAAAGTGGTTGAGATATTGCCACCTGGTTGTATGGTTATGGTTAAATCCAAAAAGTTTAGATTCTTGCCCCCAATTTCACTTGTGAATCTTAAATTGAGGTTGTTCAAAAGTTTAACAAACTCCTCAAATTCTTCTGGGGCTCCCAACCATATTTCAAAGATATCATCAATATATCTCTTTCAACAGTGTACTTTTTCAAAGTAAGTTGCTGACAGGGGGTCTGTCATGATATGTCCCTCCCATGCGCCCAGATATAAATTCGCATAGGAGGGTGCACATGAAGTCCCCATGGCAATCCCCCTAATCTGTTGGTAGATTGTACCACTGAACAGAAACATTTTCTTAGTGAGAAGAAATTTAAGTAATTCAGAAACAAAATTGGTGTATATCGGGGGAACGTTCAGTTTATTTTCCAGCGTAGGTCTAACACACTCAATCCTCAATCTATGAGGATGGACCTATACAATGATTCCATGTCTAATCTGCAGAGAGTAGCTTGTTTGGGTACCTGCAAATTCCTCATTATATTAAGCATTTGTTTAGTGTCTCTTATTAATGAGAGCAGCTTAGATACAATCGGAAACAGCATTTTTTCAAGAAAAATGCTCACATTCTGGGTCAGGTTTCCCCGTCTTGATCCTATTGGCCTGCCGGATGGATTCTATAATGATTTGTGTACTTTAGTCAAGCTATAGAAGGTGGATAACACTGGTTGTTTTATCAGCATGAAACCAAGTTTGTTATCCAGCTTGAGAGAGTACAGTTTTGATCTCAGTTTGGTTGTTGGTTCCCAGTTTGTTATCCAGCTTGAGAGAGTACAGTTTTGATCTCAGTTTGGTTGTTGGTTCCCAGTTTGGGCTGTGGTTTGTCAGTGTGGCCTGTGCGCGTGGGTTGTTTCAGCGGTAGCTGATATGCGTGGTACCCCTAACCAAAGGGGTTGCAGGGGGGGGGGGGAGGAGAGATGTGGCCCCATTGACTCTCTGTTGTTGTGTCCAGCGTGTTGGCTGGGGTGTGGTTTGCTCGTAGTCAGGATAGGGGTGTGAAAGCATAGATAAAAAAAAAAAAAAAAAGTTAGATTATAGTAACTGTAAAGGTAATAAACAATTCTAGTAACTGCATTGCATCCGAGTACGAGGTTTCCCTCGTGTATCAATGTCATCTCCGGGTGGCTCGAGGCCAGAGCCTTCTAACGTGGGCTAGATTGTGTAGCCATAGGTGTCTGTTTGGGCTGTCACTGTACGGGTGGTGGTGTCCCTCTGGTGCGTGGGACAAAGGGGTTGATGGTGGCCGGGTCTCTGGCACTCTCAGGAAGCGCACGGTTATCGGCTGGAATGGGTAGTCCTAATTTTCCCAGAAAAGAAGTTGCGTCGGCCATGGTGTGGAGGATATGCGTAGTTCCTTCTGTGGTGACCGTTAAAGAGTTGTCGGTTCCCCATCTGTATGGCAGTCCTGCCGTGCGTAGTTGGGAAGTTACCGGTGCGTAGGTTTTCCTCCATAGCAGCGTTGCCATAGTAAGGTCTTGGAAGAAGTTCAAGGTGTCATTTTCAAATGAAAGAGGGGTTTTGCCCTTCACAGCTGTCATGACATGTATTTTGTCTTGTACTGAGTGGAAGCGCAGGATGACATCCCGGTTCAGGTTGGTATTAGTGTTGGTTGTATTAGGGATGCGATATAGACTGTCCACTGTGATTTTGCGGGCTAGCGTGGGAGGTAATATAGATGTTAAGAGGCGTCGGGTGTAGTGGGGAAGTTCCTCCGCGGATATTGCCGTAGGGATACCCATTATTTTGATGTTTGCGCAGCGTTGTCTATCCTCCAGGATTATGAGTTTTGCGTTCAGGTTAGTCTGGTGCGCTTGTAATTGGTGGATAGAGTCCTGCATGGTTTGCATGGCAGATTGTGTGTCTGCTATAACCCCCTCTGTGGCCTTGACTCTCTCTGTTACGGCCTGTAGCTGTGTTGTAAATACAGCTAAGTCTGCAGCCAGGAGCTTGTGGATATCAGCTAATAGGACCTTCAGGTCTCCCCTAGTTGTTGGGGCTGATTCATCCATAGGGTCCGCTTGTGTGGTTCTTACCGCCAGGGGGTGTTGTGGTACCTCCATCTCGTGGCGGTCCGGTTCTGGTTCTGTTTCCGGTTGGTCTCCGGCCCGAGTTTGTTTGGGCTTCTGGAGCATCGCCCCAATATCCCTGGTGTCCGACCCTGTAGCGGGTCTCTGTGATTTACGGCCCATGGTGAGTGTGTTGGGCGATGTATGTGATGGGGTCGCCCTCAGCCGTTCCGCGAGGTCTCCGCCGAAGAGTGACGCGAGGCTGGGGATCTGGAGAGGGTGATAGGCCTCAGTTTTCCGTCGCCGCTTAGGCTGTTTTTGCGGCTGTAAGAAGGGCATCTACGCTTTCAGCTCGGGCAGCAGAGTCTGATTTCGTGCTTTTTGAGGCTGGATGGGCTCGTGTTCCGATGATATCGGGCAGATTTCAGGTTTGTTTGGAGGAGCTCCAGCAAATGGCGTCTGTCTTGGTCTGCTTGCTAGCCCCGCCCCCCGAGATAGATTGTTATATTGTTACCTTTCATCTCTCGTTTCACCTTTTGGGCACTATTTTGTGTGAAATCTTGTTGTTATAAAGGTACTTTTGTTTATTTCAGTGATTGTGTAATTTTAGTTTATGTCACAGGATTTTGTTCTTGGAAAATCTTAAATAGATATTAGCCGCCGTGTCAGTTTTTTCCACTAATCAGTCCAGTGCTAGTCGGCTCAGTGTGTATAGCACTTTACTACCGTTAGGGTGCCGTTCACCATCGCTCTACCAGTACTGTTATCCCTTACTTTATTATTTCTCCTTTATTCTTTATTTAGTATTTGTTTTTGCCATTCCCTAGCTAAGCTTTTATCTAGGCACTGGTTATTATATATTGTTTCAATTAGATATCACAGCGCTACATTCAATCTTTAGTGCTGTTGGTTATTTCTAAACCTACGATATATGTGTAGGGCTGCACCCTCATTATTTAAAGACATATATTTCCAGCGCGCCATCAGTACGCTATTCAGATCTTTGATCTGCCGTCATGCATATATGCACACTCTCAGGGTGCAGTTTAGTAGAGTGCTGTTAGCACAGTCAGTTCTTTCTCTACTTTATTCTTTATTTATTATTTTATTTTGATATATATATTTTTTTGACATTCTGCTTTATTATCCCTATTACCTTTTAGTCAAGCTCTCTTTGAGACATTAGTTATTATACTTGATATATCATCTGATCTCTTAGCACCATATTGCATTTCTAGTGCTGTGGGGAACGTTTGACATAATGGTACAGGTTTAGGGGCGTACCCTTATTATCTCTATATACACACTTTTTTAGCACTCACAGTGCGCTGTTCTAAATCTCGATCTGCCGATTTACATATTTAAATTGTCATACATTTAGTATATTCCTACAGCTATATAAATATACTTTTCAGTGAGATTGGGCTCATAGGCTAAACGCTTCTTTTTGGAGCTCTTACTATTGTTCTCTATTCAATTGCACATCATTGCTGGCACCTTTATATCCTTCCCCCTCTCCTTGTGCGCAGACGTGCGCTACTACTGTGTCTATGTTAATGTGCTTAGAAATCAGAGGCTATCCTACTTCATATATACCGACATTGTGTTTTTAAACTTACTTTTGATGTGTTTACCTTGTACACCTTATCCTTTTTTTTTTTTTTTTTGTTTCTATTAATATATAATCGATTTTCAATAAATTTGTTTCTTATTTTTTGGACCCCGTGGTCCTTTTAGATGAGACTGTATTCCGTATCTCTGACAAAGAAGGACCAGGCTCATTCTAGTCCTCTCCCTACTTTATAGGTACACTTCCCAATTGTTTTGTAGATATTTAAAGGAACGCTTTATTAAGCACCAAAACAACTTTCACTTAATGGAACACTCCACTGCCTATATTGAGGAAAAGTATAAATCACTGTTTAGTAGATAAAACCTAAAGAATACATGCGTGTATTTTCATACATTTATTCATTTTGGTATATCAGTTTGCAAAAAGCTGCAGTTCTTTTGCTTGCCCGGCCCCTTTTTTTTAACCTAAAATACTTTGTAAGAGCAGCATTCAGGAAGCTGGTTTGAAATGTGCAGGGGGGAGGCAAGGATGCTCAATTAGCTCCCCTGAGCTTCCAGAAGCAGGAAGAAACCCCCCTGCTTGTTTGATTGACAGTTCCATAATTATTTTTAAAATGTCTATAAAATTGGCACTTTTATAAATTGTGATTATTATGGGATACTCCTCATCCATAAAGTGATTTAACTCCTTCAAGGCAGAGAATTGAGCAGTAAGACTGCAGGGGGCATGATTTGTACACCAAAATTGCCTCATTAAGCTGAAGTTGTTTTGGTGCTTAGAGTGTCAGTGTAATAAAAAGAATGTGTAAGCAGCAAATCAACATATTAAACATTCATTTTTTTATTCTTAATGTGCTTTTTCATTGATCTGTTGATTTGATACAGTATAAAATAAACAAAGAAATATCACATTTAGAGCGAGGCTGTTGATCTACAGGTCCCAGCAAGGTACTTTATATGAAAGTTGAGTGATATTTCTTCTCTCATTCTCTCTGCTCCTTAAGATACTGTTTGTAACCTTCTACCTCTTTTCTTTCTTTCTTTCTTTCTTTTTTTGCTGCAACCTCACACCCACTTTTGATCATGTATTTCCTGTACATCAGCTTTTCTCACAGTGACAATCCGAAAGAGAACCACAGCTCTACTTACAGGAATCAAGATGTGTAATTACATATTGGTATTTAAAGGAGAACTATCTCTTTTCTGGAACTTACATCATTGGATTAAACAATAAAATGCACCTACAACTTGTGTGACAGTTCCTTTTTAAAGACTCAATAACAACACATTATAGACAGACAATATCCCTTTGTTTGTACATATTTTCATGCTAAAGTACACAAACTGATTACATACATAAAAATTCTGAATAGGTTATGCCTTATTGGGACTGTTTTGCCATGTTGTTCATCTTGAAAGAAATTATCATAAACATATATACACATTTAAATATATATATTGTATTGCAAATCTGTATATTTATAGGGATGAGTTAACCTTGGAGTAATTTGACATTTAACTTCAATTAAATATATTTGTGGATTTCATTTTTGAAGAGGTTCCAATTTATTCATGTTATTTTCCATCCAAAACACTGTAAACCAATAAGTCTAATATCTCAAAAGCTGCCATTGGTGGGTCTCTCAGCACAAAGAAAATCTCCTAGAGTTGATATTCATCCGGGTGACACCAATGTGTTTAAGTGGAGTAGAGAGCGAAAAGGCTGCCCTTGGTGGGATGTCACAGAGTAGGTCTGAGTCTTCATCACAACCCTCCAGATCAAATGTGGCATCATCTAACATCTCCTTGTGACGCTCACAGGCCTGTTCCACTTTGAGCTGTGATATTCGAGACCGTAAGAGCATTAGCTGTCTAGCTAGGAGGTGATCAGAGGCTTGCATTTCCCTCTGTTGAAACAAAAAGTGACAATGAGTAAGATTACATTATAAAATCAACAGAGAATTATTTACCGTAGAATGAACAGTTGGACAGTGATTTAAAGGGCCAACGTCACAAAAGGAATCTAAATGACTGGTGACAACTGGCAAGTGGTAAAAGAATGCCTTCTAATGAATAAATAAATCTGCTACACAAAACCATCTCACTCCATAATTTATTGTCGTATTATAGCTTCCAGTGTGATTACAATATAAAATCATTGTGGTATGTTATTTTTAAAATACTAGTAATGATAAAATGCAGATTTTCCCCAACATTTATTCAGCTTGGCTCATAACCATATTTCTGGAGAGCACCCACACTGACAATGTATGATTGATATTCTAAATGGATCGGTGACCAACTGTAGACTGTGTCTTGTTTCCTCTAGTGTTCGAATTTTGTCTATAGCTAGACATCACACAAGAGGACTATATATATATAATTTATTTTATTTATTATTATTATTTTCATTTATAATATATTTTACCAGGAAGGATACATTGAGATTTCTATTGTTTTCAAGTATGTCCTTGGCCCACAAACATTGCATTGTTACAATAGGGTACAATATAATATTAAAAACACAAAATAATATTAAAGTACACCTATATAAATTCACACAGAACAGGTAAGAAATCTAATCAACCATGATTACAGGAACATTCTGTATTGACATATATTGACAGTGATTTCTTAAAATAGTTAAGACTGGAGGAAGATTTGATTGTGTCTGTGAGGTTATTCCATAATTGCGCTGCTCTGTAGGAAAATGAGTATCAAGCAGCTTTATTTTTGCATGACTGCTGTCTA